AGGGAGTCTGCTTCTCCCTCTGACCCTCCTCCCTCTCCTGCTGTCTGTCTCTCATTCTCTCTCTCTCAAATAAATAAATAAAATCTTAAAAAAAAATAATAGAAAAGATAAATAAAACGGGGCATTTTTAAAATGATGGGATGCTATACAGAAGTAAAAATGAACTTACAGCCACATCCAAAAATGTTTGAAACTTTACAAACATAATGAAAGAAGTCTGACATAAAGGAGTATGTTCTGTATGATTCCATTTAAATGAAGTTCAAAAACAAGCAAAACTAATTCAGAAGTTAGAATATTTGTTATCCTTGGGGAAGAGAGGGCAGTGACTTGGGATGGGTAGATGAAGGGGCTCCTGGAGAGTTGGTAATGTTCTATTTCTTGGGGGTACTGGTTGCCAGGTGTGTTCCTTTTGGGTAATTTATTAAACTGTATACCCTTATACTTTTTGGTAGGTATGCTATGCTTCCACATGCAAATCCAATCAGTTTGATCCAGAATTTTTTTCTGGTTAGTACCAAGGCCAGGTGGCATAGCATTTCATTCAAGACTCTGGAATTACATGACCTCTATTCATATCCTGGATCTAGCCACTTCCTATCTTGGAGATCTTGGCCAAGTTATTCACTCTCTGAGCTTCAGTTTCTTCATCTGTAAAATAGGCTCATTATGCTACCCTGAGTATAGTTATTAAGGGAATTAAATCCTCTCAATAAATATTAGCTCTTGTTGGTCCTTGTTGGTCTTCATTCTGTGGACTGTGGAGAAGATGGACAATGACCAGTGGAAGAGGAAGGAAAAGATGAGACTCTACTCAAGAGACATTTTTGGTGTGCATGGCTGAATCAGTCAGTAGAGCGTGTGACTCTTGATCTCAGGATTGTGAGTTTGAGCCCCATGTTGGGTATAGAGATTGTTTAAAAATAAAATCTTAAAAAAAAAGAAAGGTATTTTCAAGGTGAAGACTGAGGAGGAAGATATGATGGTAAGGTATAGAAATAGAGTCCAAAGACTTGGCTCCACTAAGGACCATTCCCTGTCTCTCGCCTCTTGCCCACCTCTAACATGGGACAGGGACTAACCAGGTGACCTCTGGCTGGTTAATCTTCTGGATATCACATTGCAGAGTTGGAAGGGCAATGCAAATGGCATCCAAAAGCGAAACACAAATTCCCATGTTTAATCCAAACTCAAACCCAAAGGCCCAGACTCAGGAGTTAAGGGAGGTAAATCCTCAGTGGTAAGACTATGGGTTATTTTTACATTCTCCCTGGAATATTTTTCTATTTTCTACAATAAGTGTGTCAGAACAAAACACTGTACATGATATATCCATGCCTACATATTTATATCCATATATGTAAAAAAATAAAGAACCCCCAGATGATAGATGTGCCAGAAACTAGAATCTAGACAACATCTGGACAGGGAAAACACTGTTTCTGATGTGCAAGGGCCAAGCCAACAGGGGGTCCTGGGACAAGACAGAGTATGGATGACTGCAAATCATTCCTGCACATTTCCTAATTTAGGGGTGGGTGGGTGGGTGGGGGGAGAGGGAGAGAGAGAATCCTAAGCAGGCTCCATGCCCATCTCGGAGCCCAACACAGGGCTCGATTCCACGACCCTGAGATCATGACCCCAGCCAAAATCAAGAGTCGGATGTTTAACGGACTGAGCCATCCAGATGCTCCCACATTTCCTAGTTTTTACTGTGTTTTTCACCCCTTCCCTCGGTTATCTACACTTTTTTCTCTTTCCTGCTAAAATTAGTCCAACCTTCTGTTACAATATTTCACCTTGTTAATAAAACCCAGTGCCAAAGAAGGGGAATAAAAGGGTTTTCTATTCACTGTTTCTTAACTTCTGAAACTAGTCTGGATGGAATGATCACTTGTTGTAGGAAGTTGTCCAAGGGTGCATTTACTAGCAACTGGAACAGAGATCTCTGCTGAGGGGAGGGATTTTCTGGGGAGTTGGGTACCTCACAAAATATAGGAAACCCTCAAGTCAGGTTCAGTGATAACCTCAGTGTCAGGTCTGGCCACGCGGGACTCTGGCTGGCTGTGTGGGAAAGAGACAAACTCTAGGAGGGTCAGACCAGGACATTCTAGGTAGTCGTGCATTTACCCAGGGAGCATTCACTGTGTCTGAATCATGTGCAAGACACTGTGTGAGGGGCAAGCGAAGCTGAATCAAAATTAGTGAGACATACCTGTCCTTCAGGAAACACCTACTCTGGATGTTCTGCACTCCCGTCTTTGCCGGTAAACCAACATACAAGCACGCCCAGAAAGAGGAGAGTGGACAGGGGGTGAGGAACGTGAGTGGCTGGGACACTTGTTCCTGGTAGTGGAAGGCTGGAAGGCTCTGGGAGGTGTGAAGAAAGAGGAGCAGGCTGAGGGGGCAGGGGGCATAGGCAGGAAGAGTGGAGAGCTTGCTGAAGCAGGGAGGGGCAAGGTGGGAACCAGACGTGGGGGCCTCTGTGGTTATCTAGGACTGTGAGTTGGGTTTGGCAGGGGCGGCAGAGTTGGCGGGGCAGTGACGGGGGTGGGGGTGGGTACTTCTGAGCCGGAGAGAGGGCAGGTCTGAGTGGTATTTTAGGAGGGTTATGTGGCAGTGGTGGGGAGGATGAATGGAACTCAGAGTCCTAGAAAATAGTCTTTTCATCATAATTCCATACAAGCCTGAGGCCTGAATTCGGAGCCCTTCAACCATGTAATCTGAGAAAGAGATGGTCTTCTTTAGAGACGCGTTCAACTTCCTACTTAGAGCCAAGCACTGTGTTGATATTGCCCGCAGAGGTTGGTTTTAACCAAGCAAAGAAGAGGGGATGGATTTATTGACTACCATGGCTCGGAGTTACATCTGTCTCCTTCAGTTTTCAGAACAATTAGTGCGCTGCTCTGGACGCCCCTGACAGCCCTGAGGCGCCCCCTTGCACTGGCAGGGAGGGAATGGGTTCCTAACAGTTTCACTGCTGCGGGTGGGGCGCTCCGGTTGCTACGGGCTATCTCCTCCCACCTCCGAAAGGAAGTGAGGGCGGGGCTAGCGGGGCTCCCGCCCCTCTGCGTTGCCCTGGAGACCAAGCGCGTCCCGTTGCAGTGGAGCCTGGAAGGGCCCTGGCTGACTTGAGTGGTGGTGCCTTCTTGCAGGTGGGGCGCCGGGCCTACCTCCATCGCCCGGGCTTAGAGGGGAGGGCCGGGGACTGCCCCCACCACCCTCTCCTCTGTAGGCTGGCGGGGCTGGTGGCACGAGAGGAGCCTGCTGCGTCTTCTCAGCATACAGTAGGTGCCTAATTAGCATGGCCAGAGTCAGCCTGCTCCCTCCCTCCACTACCCCCTCTCTGTCCACTCGTGGCGGGGAGTAGCGGAGGGGGTAGTCAGGGGTCCTTGAACCATGTTCAGCTCCAGGTTGGGGGTTCAAGGCCAGCTTGAAATCTGAACTGACACCTTGGGCACATTGACTTTCCCAGGAGAGCTTGGGAGGGTGAAACACAAAACAATAACCATTTATTATTATTCTTTACCCCCTCAAGTCCCTTTCGGATTTGCACCCTGCTTGGCTGGAAGAGCCAGCCTTCTCTGTGAGTTCTATTCTTGCCTGAGGTTTGTTTCCTTTTTGCTTCTTTGCCCCTCTCCTCTTTTTTGTTTAAAATGAAAACCCTGATGCCTGAGACGAGCCCCATGCTTTCTCTCAGAGCAGTAGGGTGGGGGTGGGGGTGGGCGTTGCCTGGATGGGCCTTGTCCTAGGCAGAGGACTTGTCCTAGGCGGAGGACTTGTCCTGGGGGTGCAGGCATCAGTTTCTCAACCTTGGTCGGAATGGAGACCAAACCCCAGACAGGATTCCTGGACAATGAATTCCCAACAGGGTTGTTCAGCCGGTGGTCAAGCCAAGATGTCCTCAGTGGGGAAGGTGACCCAGGTTCCCAGCGGGAAACTCTACCAGCAGATCTTCGAGGCTGAGGTAGGTCTGTCCCTCTGTCACCCCCTTCCCTCTCCTCCCCAAACTTCCCTCCCTCTGAAGGCTTTTTTGCCTGGAAATCCAATGAAATAAGGCTTTGAAATTCCTTCGATTTTAAAAATAATTCTTATTGGTTCTTAAAACATAGGAATACAAAATTGGAATGTCTATTCTTAAAAATTAAAAAATTTACATTAAAATTTTAACTTAATTAAATTTAATTCAAACTTAAATTATTCAGAAATAGCCAGAATTAACCAATGGATGTCTTGGGACCTTTTTCTATGCACAAAAGGATTTCTAATTTTTTCAATTTAAAAATGGGCTTGATTCTATACCAGTGTCTTGAAACCTGCTTTTTCCCTGTTAATGGTATCACACGGACCTTCCCCATGTCAAGGGACATTCATGTACTGCCTAGTTGTTAATCTCGGACTTCCCATCATGTATTAAAGTAATACCCTCTTGACAACCCTATAGGTTGCTGGAATTGCCTTGATGTCTATAAAAAACACAGACAAGAACAATATCTTACTGTACTGCTTATTTAAAAGGGATTTTCATTCCTACTTTGAGCTCTGAATAATGCTCTCTGTAGAAGGCTTGGAAATTATACAAGTATAAGGAAACCAAAGAAACAAATGACTCACATGATCCAGCTGCCTGGAAGCAACACACCATTCTTAACAGTTAGCACACTTTCTCCCGGTCATTTTTCTATGAGTTTAAAATTTTGAGATCCTATTGTATAATTTTGGTTATAATTTTTAATTTATGCTTTTTATTGATATGTTTATGGTCTATCATAAGCGTTTCCCCGTGTCATAAAAAATCCTTTGTAAGTCAGGGCGCCTGGTTGGCTCAGTCTTTAAGCATCTGCCTTCAGCTCAGGTCATGGTCCCAGGGTCGTGGGATCGAGCCCCACATCAGGCTCCCTGCTCCGCGGGAAGCCTGCTTCTCCCTCTCCCACTCCCCCTGCTTGTGTTGTCTCTCTTGCTGTGTCTCTCTGTGTCAAGTAAATGGATAAAATCTTTTTTTTTTTAAAGATTTATTTATTTATTTGAGAGAGCGAGAATGAGAGAGAGAGAGAGTACATGGGGGGGGAGGGTTAGAAGGAGAAGCAGGCTCCTCGCCGAGCAGGGAGCCCAATGCGGGACTCGATCCAGGGACTCCAGGATCATGACCTGAGCTGAAGGCAGTCGCTTAACCAACTGAGCCACTCAGGCGCCCCGTAAATGGATAAAATCTTAAAAAAAAAAAAAAATCTTTTGTAAGTCTCATTCTCAATAAATGCCTAACATTCCATTGAAGGGACATACCGAGTTTACTCAACCAGTCCTCTATAATTGGACAGGCCCATTTTTCTAATTCCTTGTGATTACAAAAGATGCTGGGATAAGCATCTTGGCCCTCATCAAAATTTCTTAAGAGATATGTTTCTAGATGGCTGAATGTTTTGCGGGAGTGCATGGTTCATACCCTGGGGTTTAAGGCCTCCCTGCAATGTGCCTTCCTGCTGGCAAGTTCCCCCGTGACCTTATAAGACTGCAGGGTCAGGCCAGGGTGCTGGGGAGCCTGCAGCTCTGACCCCCCACTGGGATCTTTTGTGGATTCAGGCACAGCTGGTCCGCTCTCTGGTAGCCTCCAGGAAGCGTGCCTTGGACAGGTCTATGACCCCCAAGAATGGCAGGAAGCCTTTGATGAAGAAGACGGATATTCCTGAAGGAGAGATGATGTCTGCCCGGCAGCAGAAGTGGGCACACAGCCTACCCAATGACTGGGTCACAGAAAACCCTGTTCTCTACAGGTAGGTCCTGCGGTCCCCACCACACTGCCACACACTGGGCGTGATATGTCAGAGTCTTCAAAAACTCAGACAGATCTCACACAAAATGAGTGCCAGGTAGGAATGAAGTCCCAGGTACCTCCTCTGAAAGAGGTACTTTGCAGGACTCTGTGCTGCTCCCTTCCTTCCTTTCCGC